TATCTTTATTAGGGTCATGTATTCTGTTACTATGGCGGCGCTGGAGACGGCAGCAGCTGGCTACCTCTACTGCTTTCGTGCAGTTTTTCTTTCTTTTTATTATTATTTTTTMTTTCTTTTTTTGTTTAATATTCGCGTTTTATTGCATGTGTTTTACGCACTATCTGTCCAAGATGGGCAAATATAGCATAGTCTATTACAGAAAAACACTGCTAGATATTGGTAAGTGCTGTRTAAATGTACCTTTCAGCCTACCAGTTGCCGACTTCACGCTGGATATTCTCCGACCCAGAACACCGCAAGCTAATGTGGAGCCGTATCTCACCGAAAGACGCAGACGACGGGCATGCGAACGTAAACAGAAGCGGGGTAAGCGAGCGGGTGTCCGAGGGCGGCTAGCGAAGCTAGCTAGGATACCACTCCCCACACTGCTGCTCACAAATGTCCGATCGCTGGATAATAAAATGGACGAACTAAGACTCAGGCTCATTTCAGATCGCCAAACAAGGAACTGCTGTGTTTTCGTTTTCACGGAATCTTGGCTCCATGGCTGTGTCCAAAACGGCAGGCTGGGTCCTTCGAAGGCCGATTTCGTCGGCCGCATACGTCATAGTGTCACGACGAAGGACGTCCCAAACCGAAGACTCCTCCGATGCGGCCGACAAATACGTCCTTCCTTTTCCCCGATTTGAAGGACAGKTYYGRTGGATCCTTCCCGGCCCAGCATATCCCATAATGCATTGCGGCCCGACCGGAGATTTTTTTAAGCTAGTAATGGCGGACGAAGCGAGAGAAAAGAATACGTTTTAAATAAAAAGTATGGCGATATAAAAATTTAAAAATTTTAGCGRTTGCAATTCCAATACTTTTATCATTTGTATAGACGTGTTTTTAAATATTATTTTTATCATAAAAAAACGCGAAATAAACATGCACTTACAGCGGGTCAATTAGTTCTTCAAATGTTACCTTTAAGTTAATTTTATTGTTTTGTGATATTAATAATGCTAATATATCGATATTTTTCTAATTTTGATCTATTTTTGCTTCTGTTTAGCATCGTCATGGTTGCTAGGTGACATGACGCACGCCGGGGTGGAGGGGAGGCTAGACYGTCCAAATTCACAGCCTCTATTCTTCCGGTCTTCCCGGTCTACCAAGGACCCGGCCCACCTCGATCGAGTAGTCTGGGTCTTCCGGAGGACCCGGCCTGTCGTTTTGGACACAGCCAATAATTGCATACCGGACTCTGCTATCAGGCTACAGGGGCTAACAGYGCACCGCGCGGACCGCACTGACGCATCACTCAAAACAAAGGSTGGAGGACTGTGTGTGTTTGTAAACGATCGGTGGTGCACCAACTCAGCTGTTGTTGAGCGATTCTGCTCCCCTGACTTGGAATACATGGTGGTGAGATGCCGGCCCTTCTACCTCCCCCGGGAATTCACCATAATCCAGATATGGGCTGTCTTTATTCCTCCACGTAGTGACACTGAGCTGGCACTAGCTACGCTAGCTAATGCTATTAGCAAACAACAGTCTCCTCACCCAGAGGCTGCGCTCATTTTTGCAGGTGATTTCAATCAGACTGACCTCAGAACTGTCTGCTCCAGGCTTCACCAGCACGTATCATACCCAACACGAGGAGAAAACACACTGGATCACGTCTACACCAACATCCAGAAGGCGTACAGCACCACCCCTCTGCCTCCATTTGATAAGAGTGACCACATTTCACTCCTCATGAAACACACATACGAACAGCTGCTAAAGCGGGTTAAAGCAAGTGTGAGGACAGTACATGTGTGGCCAGAAGGGGCTGAATTAGCTCTGCAGGACTGCTTTGAGTGTACTGACTGGGATGTGTTTAAAACGGCAGCCACCAGTGACCTGCTTGTTGATGTAAATGAATAAGMATCATTTGTCACTGGGTTCATCAAGAAGTGTGTGGATGATGTGATTAAAATAAAGCAAATTCGCACACTCCCAAACCAAAAGCCGTGGATGAACAGCGAAGTTCGTAGCCTGCTGAAGGCTCGAGATGCTGCCTTCAGATCTGGCAACAGTGAAGAACTTAAAGTTGCCAGACACAATCTGAAGGCTGGCATTAGAGCTGCTAAACACACCTACAGCACACAAGTTGCAAAGCGTATGCCAACCAACTCGCAGCCCCCTTTACAGACATCTACAAYGCCTCTCTGGCACAGTCCACTGTTCCGGCCTGCTTCAAAGCCACTACAATTATCCCTATCCCAAAGAAAACCACCATCTCCTGCCTAAATGACTACCGTACCATCGCTCTCACACCTATTGCGATGAAGTGCTTTGAGAGGCTGATCCTGGGTCACATTAAGAACAGCCTTCCTGGCACTCTGGATCCACATCAGTTTGCCTACCGGGCAAACAGATCTACAGACGATGCAGTCACCCCGGCATTGCACACAGCACTCAACCATCTAGAAGGAACAAACACATATGTCAGAATGCTGTTTGTTGATTTTAGCTCCGTATTTAACACCTTAATCTCATCCCGACTGGTATCCAGGATCAACACCCTTGGAATCAGTAACTCACTCTGTAGCTGGATTATGGACTTCCTCACTGGCAGACCACAGTCAGTCAGAATGGGTGACCACACCTCCCCCACCCTCACACTCAGCACCAGCTGCCCACAAGGCTGTGTGCTCTCACCCCTGCTCTTCACCCTGTACACTCATGACTGCCTCGCTAAACACTGCACCAACACCATCAAGTTTGCTGATGACACCACAGTCATTGGCAATATCTCTAATGATGACGAGGGGGCGTACAGGGAGGTGAAGTGAAGCTCCTGGCAGAGTGGTGCACCACCAACAACCTCTCCCTCAACACCAGCAAAACCAAGGAGCTGATTGTGGACTTCAGGCGAGGGAGTAGAGCGCACAAACCCCTGAGTATTGAGGGGACATTAGTGGAGAGAGTGGACAGCTTCAGGTTCCTCTGTGTTTATATCTCAGAGGATCTCACCTGGTCACTGAATACATCCCACATTATCAGGAAAGCCCAACWGCSYYTCCACTTCCTCCGTCGTCTGAAGACGGCTAAACTGCCACAGCAGCTACTCTGCAACKTCTACAGGTCMMCTGTGGAGAGTCTTCTGAGCAGCTGTCTCACAGTGTGGTATGGTAGTGCCACTGCTGCTGAACACAAGGCTCTGCGGAGAGTAGTGAAGACTGCTCAGTTCATCACTGTGGCTGCCCTCCCACCCATGCAGGACCTCTACAACAAGAGGTGTGTGAAGAAAGCCGTCAGTATCTCCTCTGACCCCACCCACCCCAGCCACTTCCTGTTTCAACCCCTGCCATCTGGAAGAAGGTACAGGATCATCAGAGCCAGAACCACCAGACTCAAGAACAGCTTCTTTCTCCGTGCTGTTAAACTGGTGACCCCAGCCACTCCAGCCACAACCTGAACAATCAGACTGTCCATTGTCCACACCTAGTTCACTTCATACGCACGATTGTGTATTTAATGTCTGTGTCTAATATTTATGCACATTATGTCTTGTCTTGTCTGCACTACGTCCTTTGTGGCTGCACTGGAGATCTAGCTTAAAAGCATTTCATTGCACTGTAAAACCCTGTTTCAGTATAATGACAACAAATTGAATTGAATTGAATTGAATTGAATGTATTGACTTCCATTCATTTCTGTAGCCTGACTCTGGCCCTTACCCCACACTTAACCACCCCCCACCTCAATTAACTCCTTAATTTGAAACCTAACCCCCCACCSACCAATGGTGATAGGACTTTGGGTCCTGACAAGGTGTTTATAGGCCCTCGAAAGGTACCAGAGCCAGGTAAATAGATACAGTTGAAGAGGAAAGCAAACTCAAAAATAATCAGATTCACATAAACTCATAAAATGACATGTGCAGCAGATGCATGAAGGCACATGTCCAAACCATTTTTTTTTTTGCTGCAATTTGCTTTTAATATAATAATAAAACAAAAAAGCTATTAATACACATTTGTAAATCTTCATAAATAGCTTTTTTTTCTACATCTCTTTGCGTTCCAGTTCTAAAACAAGGGACGGTAATGATTTGAGCCTGGACACGGCGGTCCCTGTGTGATCTGTCGGGGACGCAGGGAGCGTCTCCAAGCAGGAAGGTTTTATATGGTAATAGGATCGATCGGAGCGAYGCGCGCACCAATGAGAAGCGTTTGATTTATGTTTAAGGGACTGTTGAGAGCAGCAGTCGCTTGGCAACCGTCTAATGAATGTAGGAAGTATAGCGACCCATTTGCTGCTGCAGTTTCAAATAAATCCTACACAGGCTGAAGCTGCTTTGGACGGAAGGAATGCGTGATTAGATCCAATCGATACTCACGGGGGGTTAAAAGGAAAAATAAAAGTGACACTGATGGTTTGATAAAAAAGCACGATTTCAATCAAGCCAACTCTTTCAATRAATCGGTTATTATTTATTAAACACATCCTAATTATCCATATGAAAGCTTGGCTCAATCTGTGATGAACGGCGCTCCTCGGCTGAGAAAAGACGTGACATCAGAAAAGTCCAAAAGAAAAAGTAAGAGCCTCAATTTACCCACGATAATAAAAAAGAAATATGCATTGTTGTTGGGATTGTGCGCCAGAAAAGCGACATTAAATCCATTCAAATTGATTATTATTAAAAGACGCCTGTTTACTGTCAGAAAACACATTTATACCGAGCTGTTTGTTTGATCTCTGAAACTGAGAGAATAAAAATGATGTGACTGTTTCTGTGGAAACCAACTTTCCCCTGGCTGCTCGACGCTCTCCATCCTAAACTACCCAGGGCACGGTCTTTGCGGAGAGAATATAGATTAGATCAGCAGCTTGAACCGTTCCCATCCAAACAACCAGGTGCATTAGGGATATTAAATACTTAGATAACATGCTTTTATGATGATGGTAAAAAAAAAAAACCTTCAATCAATGATGATAAAAAACTGAAACATATGACTTACARCAATTTGTAACTGCAAAACTGTTGGCCACCTCCAGATTGTCGATGTGAGGCGTCAGTCTGAATTCCGAGGTGCCAAACTGAACCATTCCTATCCGAAACGCGCTGTATTCTTGATCCGCGCCCCTTGGAAAAAGTCCCCCTGAAATCGACACAGAAAAARCCAGTGAGACTCGCACATATTAGGACAATGTGACATACTTAGAGCTGCTTCTCTTTTCTGATTTTTTTTTTTTTTTTACGCGTAAAACTGTTTAATCATTTGATGGGTTTTAGCTTCTCACCAATCTGAACGCTGGGCGAGCCTCCAAGCGCGCATCCCCATAAAACCAAAAGGAAAGAAACGGATAAATGTGCTATTTTTTCCATGTCCACAGACAGTTTAGGTGTCCACATCCACCAGAGATGCCTGGAATCCCTCTTTTTTGTCCGGTTGAGACGTTAGATCCGACACATATTGAGAACCTTCAGCCTTGAGAGACAAAAAATTAAAAAAATAATAATAAAAAGGACTGTTTTCTGCAGGTGGCTACCAGCAGTGAAGGAATGGTCGCCTGCAGTGGAGCTCTGTTGTCTCCTTTTCCTTTTTTTTTTTCCTTTTTTTTCCGCCGCTCCCTTTCTGCCGGCAGCTGCGCGTCTTCTGAACGCACAGCAACTCTGCGCGTCTCCGCGCCGCGCGCCGGCGATCTTTTCATCATCACACCCACAACTGAGAAATGCAAATGAGAAGGCGGACAAAAGCGAAAAAAGAGCCGAAAATAAACCACATGGTGACAGGATCGCATGCACCACTTTGAGTAAATAGAAACGGAAGCTCTTGTCCAGGAAGCATTGTTTTTTGTTTYGGCCTGGAGGTTTTGGCGCGCCTTATTAAGGCATGAAATCATTGAACACTGTTGATTCGCAACAGGATGGCGCCATTAGGTRCACTTAAATCATGCTTGGCTTGATGTAGCTTTAAAGTGGCCCCTAGATATTTGAGCCAGGGTTTCGTACAGTTAAAGGGATCTCTTCTGCGCCTCGTTCAGTTATTTTAGACTTTTTTTAGAAGGAGAAAATAATGTGAAAAGTTACAAATGTTTATCATTCCCAAGACTTTTTTTAAAAAACCCAACAATTGTCAAACATAAGCCATTTAAAACCCCTTTTTCCTCTCAACAAAATTCCTTCCTCAGAAAAAAAGAGCACCTGGAAGCCATCACTCATGCCCTCCAGGAAAAAAAATATATCATCAAACAAATTCCCTCTTTAACTTTGATCCAACGCTTAATTTCACCCTTTGCATACAGATCCAGAGCAAATACACGCCTGATCCAAAGTATCATTATGAATCGAGCTCAGTAAAATGAATTCTGCCCCGGCGCCAACAGAAAATAAATGTCATCTTTCGCCTCTGGTTTTATAACATGTGTACTTCAGCCTGAACAGACAGTTGTATATCAATCATGGGGTAGCATGAGGTAGCAYTCTGGCAGCAAACTAATGAGGCAGAGAGCAGGAGAGGTTTGAAAGGTTTCAGCACCATAGACAGCACACTGAACTAAAACTCTGGCTCCTGCAGAATGATTTTCTCACAGGAGAACAATCTCTAAAGGGAGAAGGATCCATACAGCTTTCACTGGACGTGGTTTTTCTTTTCCCTGTGTCCTAAAATTTTCATCACTTTAAAACATCTGGTTAAGTTCAGTTTGTAATTCGCAGCTAAAATGATTTCAAAGTGCTATACAACAAAGATAAAAATCTAAATCTAATCCAAATCAGAGCCAGATTCAAATGCAAAGACAATCAAATTCAGATGTACAACACATTTACAAAGAATACATAAAATGCTAGTTTGTCATCGTCATCTGTGTAAGTCAGCAGGTTGTATTAAATCTTTAGTTTGTCACAATCCTCCATCCTGAGCAGCACAGGTGCAGTAGTGTGTCTGTGGTGCGKTATGAAGGCCAAAATTAAGACTATTGCCTGTAGCAGGAGGTTATATTTAATTCTAAACCAGCTATTGGTCTGAATGATAGGTCGCCAACAGTAACTGAGGAACTGGCCCTGGCAAATAGAACGAGACTATTTATTTGTGATAGCATCGGAGAAGCTAGTAACTAGCATGCCTAGGCAGCTCACCTATTTTATTAGACAAAAACCTTTTTGAAATAAGAAAAAAAAACTTAAGTTTCTCCAAAAAGTAACAACTTGATAGTTCTGGCTTTTCCCATAATTTGGCTAAAGAGAAGAAAACACAGTCATAAACCAATAAACAAGGGCAAACACAGCTGCCAGTTCTGCTTATTAAAGCAGTCTGCTTCACGGTAATATGTTTTATGTTTAATGTTTATGCTTGACGTCATGTTGAACAGTAAACTCTGTCTAAGGAACACCTGTCAGTGCTTGTTGCTTATAGGTTTTATATGCCAACCATTTTTGTTGCGAAACTTTACTTTATTCAAAAAATGTTTAATAAAGTGAGCAGACTATCTATGCTAGTCGCTAGCCTCTCTGATGCTAATGCCAGCTTATCCACGCTAGTTGTTAGCCTCTACAGGGCTAACACCAACTTATCCATACTAGTCGCTAGCCTCTCTGATGCTAACACAAATGAATAGTCTCCTCATTTGCCAGCGCTAGCTTATCAGTTACCGGGGGACCACCTGCTCAGTTACCGGTGCCGGCCTATCATTAATCAGAACAATAGCTGGCTTGGGAATTGAGCCTACTGCTACAAGGATATATCAACCACTGGTTGCACAATAGTTTTAATTTTGGCCMTCATRTYGCGCCATAAATTTCCAATCTGAGTSTGCGGATTAGGATTGGATTCACTTTTATACCTCCAGCAGAACCAGTCTCAGGATGAGGGGCCACCTCATTCAGCAGAGGTTTAAGAATCAGGAAAGAGATGCAAACAAACTTAAAAGGGTTGTGCCACGTGTTGTTTTTAATGGAGGAAAAACACAKGTTAATGACAGCAATAATAACAATGGAGAGTAGTGCGAGTAAAAACAGCAGCAGTTTGAGGAAATGTGGCCAGTTTGCCTTCCAGCACCCTGAGCTTATAACACCGTARCTCAGGAAACTAAAGCAACCCCAAACTACAGGATCTGATTGATCAAAATAAATAAATACAAATCTTAAACCTARTTTTAAAARTAGACAGAGTGTCATCCTCACGATCAAAAACTGGAAGATGGTTGGCCTGGCCTGATGGAGTCCTGACATTCTGCTATTAGAAACTCTAAGAACCACAGATAAACCTGTTGTTTGAGAGCAAAAGGGTTCTGGAAGGAAAATAGGGAATAAAATCCTCAAACCAACRATGACACTTATCTGTTGAGAGCTTTGTAAGTTTGAAGTTAGATTTAAAAAAAATTTCTGGGAGTTTTTCAGCAATCCAATGGCGAGAAACTAAAAACAAAAACRATCCCTCCTTCTGCATTCTCCACACTTTCTGTTGTTTACTATTATTTCTGAAATGTCATCGCGTATAAAGTCAGGATTTTACTGCAACCTTGACGTTTGTGGGGGGTTTAGCTGCAAGCGCCACATCGCTGCGTTCATGGCCTGAACACGGACGCCTTTGCTCTGTGTTCCTGCTCTTCCTCCTGGCAACGCAAACTGCACACTCAACCGCTTTGGTTCCTCTGTCTCACATACTGTATGTTCATCTCGTTGACCTTGTCTGGAGGTTCTGCCATGCATGGATTCACTCTGCTGCTGCCAGACTGAAAAGCAATTTTGGTTGATTGTCTTGCAGCACGCTCCACAGTGTACTGAATCTGCAGCCTGTGAGATAATTTAACTGCGACAACTCTCAAGAGTCCAAATGAGTTTTCAGGGGGCAAAATGAGAGGAACTCATAATCAAATCATGACCCCCRCTGGCTGTGTCAATTCACACACGTAAACCACAAAAGAGAGATTGAATTTAAYATGTTTATGAAAATATTTCACCCCTTTTAAATTAAACAGTGCGATGTCGGTGGAGTTAAAAGCCCAGAAAAAAAAACAACACTTCAACAACCTTCTGAGAGCAACTCAAGTTTATTTCGGTCTTTTCTTTGACGTAGTTCCTGTTTTTTGTTGCTGTTTTTTGTTCATCTTGTGCCGTTAACTGCTTGAGTTGTTCACTTGTGACCACTTAGCTTCTTATGAATAAACAGAAGCTGTAGAGATCTGACAAGTGACCTGTTAGCGACAGATTGCATACTTTCGTGATTTCTTGTACACACAAAAGAAATATGCAAGTGTTTCTTCAGTGTCAGTTATTTGATGTCGGTGTCCACCGGGAGTTTAGAAACACAACAAATCTGTACAGGAACTAATATACCAGTGTAAAAACATACAGCGGGTAAAATAAGTATTGAACACGTCACCATTTCTCTCAGTAAATATATTACTAGAGGTGCT